TGCTGACGATGCCGGGTCCGAAAGGTGCCCACCCGTCAAAGCCCTTTCCAAGAGACCACTGGCCTCCGCCGCGCTTCAGCTGCCAGTCACGATGAGACACATCGTTGCCGACCGCGTAACCCAGGACATAGTCGAGGGCCTTGGACTCGGGGACATCGGCGCAAGCCTTGCCAATGACGGCCACAAGCTCACACTCATAGTCCAACCCTTCGCCTTGTTGGGCCAAGGGGTGAACGGGGATCGGGTCGGTGGGACCCGCGAGAGATGTCAGGGGTTTATACTAGCTGGTTGTTAACTGGGCTCTATCTTCTTGAATTACAAGATTTACCAGAACTTACAAAGACAACGGGATACTTAGGAATGGGCATCTTAGACTGGTCAGGGTCATAAATGTTAGCTCAACTCTTTCCTATGATAGATGAAAGAATGCTGATCTGTACCTCCTTGGCGTGAGCCTCATAGTTCAGACCCAAACACCGCACAGTCCGCACATCCTCAAGCGCCAGGGGAGCCAGGAGGAGCCGTATATCGGCGACCTGGTCTGTAACATCATATTTGCCAAAGATGCTACCCTGAATGACACGGGCTTGGCGAGCCTTGCTAATGTCACTGATACCACGGGGAAGAATAGCATCGCCATAGTAGGTACGGCCATCCCTGGCAAGGAAACGGACGAGTCGCTGTCCTAATGTCAGTTATTTGACTTCTAAGGTCCTGTCTTCAGGTTTGGTCTTGTTGGGGGGGGGTTATCGCCCTGAAGTGGGTACATACTGAGAAGCTGGCCATCATGAAGAATGATCTAATTAGTGTATTCTACTGAGTCTATGAAAGCCGTGATAGTATTTGATGAAGTATGAAAATACTGTAGCCTGCGATCACCGGCGCCGATGATGTGCTTGATGCTCGGAGATAGTGGATGGAAATGCCAGAAGTGGGGAATCCGATAGAAGTCAGCGCCCTATTGGCGATTACCTGTGTTCCGTAATTATTATTCCCGTTGTTGGATGCTAGTCTAACCCATTACACATCCTTAAGGCGAATTACGGTCTCTATCGTCATAGATTATCTCCAGCTTTCTGGCATTTAGCAAATGTTGAAGCATTGACTGTGTACAAGCAGACCGGACCGGAAAGGACGGTTTGTACTCGTGAATGGTGATCGGACCGGCGCGCATTTCAAGCTCTGACATCGGAATGCCGAGGCTTCCACTTATCTACCTGGTAGACTAGATACTTGTTCACTGACCAATTGATTTCCACCATCGTAAACCCCTGAGAAATTTCCAATCAAACAACAAACAATTCATTCCGTTCCCACGGCATCAGCCTGACTCTCCATCCCGCGATGCGTCTCTCCGGCCTCCAGAAAGAAGTACTTAGTCTCTACAGGCAATGCCTTCGTGCATGCAGGAAGAAACCCGAGGCAACCCGGCCGCACTTTCAGACTTTTGCGCGGTAAGCGGGAGCTCCATGAAAGGGAGATCCTGTCTTCCATTTGCAGAGATGCTAACCGTGGCGATAGAACGGAATTCGAGAAGAGTCTCAAGCTTGACAAGAGAGATTTTGGTGCAATTGAGTTTCTGTTGCGCAAAGGCCGACGGCAGTTGGAGATGTATGCTTCACCAGGAGTGAAAGATATAAGGAAATAGACCCGCAATTCAAAGAACTACTGAAAAGTCACCCTGAGCCTTCCTCAAACCTTTGGCAAGTGGAAGAAGTGGCTGCCATGTCAAACCCAACTCTTACTGCAGTTTCTTGCTTCTTCGGTTCTCGAAAATGGAGACCTGCAGTGCTGCACCGACACTTTTCACTCGGTCATTTGGTTTGCCTGCCTTCTTTCGAGATACCCTATCACAACCCCAACAGCCATACTACCTACCGGCATTTGCCCTGGTGACTTTTTTCTTTCTTTCTTTTTTTTGTTGGAATATATGGACGATGCCGACAATCAACTTAGCTTAGAAGGGAAGTCCGCTCCATCGATCCAAGAACAAGACTATGTCTTCCAATAATCCAGATGGCGCTCCGGCCGCACCCAGTCCCGTTCCCGCTCCCGCAAGTCGAATGAGCTTGGCCCACCGCTCTGCCCAGGAGGTGTTGCAAAGGCCATTGAGTGAATCTTTACAAAAACTGCGTCGGGCACAGTGTGCTCTTGTGCGAGGTAGGAGAAAGCGCAAGAGCAAGGTACGAGTCTCATTTCGCGATTCCATGACCAGTCAGAGATACGTCGAGACAAGAAGGAACTTGAGACAGCTTCAGCCCAGTGTTCCTCAAAAAGATGCAGCATTCCCTCAGCGCAAATCTGTTCGACAGCCACCATCTTCCTCCCACAAGCAGGGCGGATGTCTAGGGAGTCCCTCCAAACCCCCACCTCCGCCGCCCAAGAACGATGCGGCAGACAACGGTCCACCGCATGACACAATGCCCGAGTCCTCTGATCAGCCGTCAGTCAAACCGCCGAAACCAAAAGGAAAGGAGCATGGAGATGCCAAGCAAGAAGACGCACAAGCGAGTAGTTCGTCCAAGTCGAAAGTTCCCGCCCTGAAGCGTCACCCAGTCCAAGCTGCCCCGGCACCTGGTGTTCCCAGATATTCAGTGTTTCCGAGACCGACCCACCAAACCCGGCCTTCCGTCTCCGAAAAGCCTATGCTTCCAGCCGACCCAGAGCATGCCGAGTCGATTAGAAGGAGTTTGTCTCAGCAAAAGCGGTTATCGTCCCTAGTCCCAGCTGAAAATCTGCCGCCCTCAAATGCCACAGCTCAAGTTCAGAAACCGTTGCCCACATCTCCTACAACTGCGGCCAAAACCAAACCCGTCAAACCGCTAACAAGAGATGATCCAAACTCGCAGCCACGGTCATCAGATAGAATTCTTGACAAGTTCGCCCGTGAGCTCGAGGAATTTGCCAAGTCTACAGAAGCATTTAGCAAGGGCCTGACACTAACACCAACGGAGAGAGCTCCGGTTTCAACGCCAACAACTACACAAACGCAAATCTCTGTGCGTACGGTCCAAGAGTTACTACCTTACCGGCAACAATTTCAAGAAGCGGGGCTCGCAGTGACATCTGCTGAACAAAAAGCTCCTGAAAAACTAGGGAGACATCCTCAGCAGCAGAATGATCTGGCAGGAGATACTCTTCTGAAGTATGATGGGAACAGTGAACCAACTCCGGTGGTGTCTTTCACCAGCAAGGAGTCCCGCAGTTGCACCACCATCCACAAACCTCGGAACAACCCGGTCTCTCTAACTATGAACGAAGAAGTGCCCGAAACGAAGCGAAAAAAAAACGTGACCAAAGCCGCCGCGTACGAACAAATATCTTCAGACAATCAAGGAACAGCATCGGGATCATCTTCGACATTAACAGGGACAACAAATATGGGATGTGTGCAAGAAAAGGCCATTGGACCGCGGCCATCGACAGTGTTCCTGGCCACCGAACCTCTTTCTACAACACCTCTATCGCCTCAGCCATCGAGTTCGAAGGGCACCAGGGACGCCAGTGAGGACACACAAGCGCCTCAAACATCCGGCGCGTATACCAAACTCCAATCGAGTTCGGGAACTGAAAGAACGCAGCTCTTGTCTCGTGCAGAGAAAGCAGACCAAGCAGAACAAACTACTAGCTCCAACTCTTCCACCTCAAAATCATCAAAAGGAAAAGAATTGGCTTACGGAGACGAGAAGACAGATACGACCCCACCCACTTTATCTACATCACGGATATCGTCACAAGTTCGCCGCGGAGTCTCTCTTTCCAGCAAAACAAGCTGGGTTCTGGGAACGAGACAACTCCCAATGGCCCCCCCAACAACGATTACTGAGGAGAAAGAACCCTCACCCGCGAAACGACAGAAGTCAACCCATAAACTCAGTATTCATCAGCACAGCATTACCATCGCGCCAGTAACACGAACGAAAGAAATCGGTGCTGCACAAACCACTGCAAGCGTCAAACTCAGCATTAGTAGCAAACCGGAATTGTTAACTGAGACGTGGAAACACGCTCTGGGCACACCATCATCGCTTGAGAAGGCCCTAGACGATGTTGTTCGCAAACTGGATGCCATGGAGGAGCGAAGGGCCTCAGGCAGCTCGGAAGGACGAAACTCTCGAAGCAAGGGGATGTCGTCCAAACCACCTTCTTCGACACAACGACTTCAGCGAGCCACTGCTATACGCCAACGGCGGATAGCTGAAGGAGCCACGCGAGAAGGCGACCGAGAAGGTGAAGGCGAACGTGAGAGAGCGTCCCAGCAACTGCAGCCGCCGGTCCCCAAGTTGTTGCCTCCCATTAATTCAATGCTCAATGCAATGACGCCTCCTCCCCCGATGCCCCCTCCTAAGAACCAGCAGCATCAGCAGCAGCAGCGAGGATCGCGGGAGCCGGGCCGCCATATGGTGGTGCCACCCCGGGGGCAAAACCAACTCGGATGCATGCCCCCGGAAGAGGACCGGGATATCAGTGACCGGGACGTTCTCAAGGGTCTCAAGGTCATTTGTGCAGCTTCCGCCGATGCGGATTTTGATGCATTGATTCAGAACCAGACGGGCTTACGATTACGCCGGTTCTTGGCCGACTTAAAAACCTTTGAACACCTGAGTGAGAATACGGGAGCAGGAGGACCAAACATGAATACTCACCCAAGAATGAGTCGGCGGAGAGGGGTAGAAAGAAGAAAGAGGCAAGCGCAGGCTGAGAGGGAGAGCAGAAGGCGATCGCTGCGAATGATGGGGTCTTTATTGGTTAGGGGATGACGGATCAAATGAATGAAAAATGATTTGATAGGGTTCGTTTGGATTGGTTTTTTGGGGAAGCTGTTTCTATTCACAGGGGATATTTTTTGAGTAGGAAATAGAAGGGAGAGTACTTTTCATGTTTTAGTTTCGAGTAGTGCGCTGTTGTGAGCAAGCAGAGGCGTTTGATACTGGACCTTTGGGTGGTGCTGATGGCCAGGTGCGTGATAAAGTCGTCCAGGAAGTGTACTTTAACACAGCGGCAAGATGGCCGAGCGGTCTAAGGCGCCAGGTTCAGGCCTACCTGAACTAACAGTACTTCACTAGAAGACTTTCCTGGTCTCGAAAGGGGCGTGGGTTCGAATCCCACTCTTGTCAATCTTTTTGCCCATTATTCAGGCGATTCATTCACCTTGTGGTACTTGCACTGCATTTCTTCGAAACAAGAGGCCGAAAGTTATTTGCACAGGTTTTCTTTTTGACCTGGATTGGTCTGTGTTATTATCATGTGAATAGGGTTTTTTAAGTGGCTGTGGTGAGGAGTCTGTCCTTTTTATCGATGAACTGTTTTGTTTTGTTTGGTGGCAGCTGACCCCTTTTTCGCTTACACTGCCTATCTACCAGGCAACCAGCCCCTTTTTCTCGTCCGCTTACAACTGTTTGACAAAACATTAAATCAACAAGAAAGACACTTTGCTGGTTAGGGATGTTATTATTATATATCGTATTTGCGTTTTTAGATCATTTTTCAGTACATGGTCTTATCGTTGTCATATTTTCTTACAACTTTATTCCCGCAAACTTCAGTTGACACGAATCTCGGGAGTGTTGCGGTGTGCCGAAGTATTTTGGCCGCTGGCCGGGCATGAGGGAAGTGATGACGGTACCATTACACTTGCGATCGAATCACGACGATTCCGGGAAAAACCAATATGCGGATGGATGGCGGAAAGGGGAAGGGGGGAATAGCGAGGGGGATAAAGGGGGCAAGTTTAGACAGAAGGCGGCATCGCCGTCATTATTGTCACCAGATAATACCGCAAGAAAATGCATGATCTTGAATCGTGCCTGATGCTTTGGTGAGTGATTATCACTATGCGCGCATTCTTCTGTGGTTTTTCATGAGAAGTTTATTTTTATGAAGGTAGCGTGATAGTATATAATATAAGAGAGACGGGTAGACGGGTTAGGCGGGCAGGTTGCGGGCACATGTCGGGTCGATCTGCTATATATGCTGCATACGGTGTGTTCTATATGTTTGGTTGGGTATGGTACATATAGGTTGTATATATGTCTCGCATTTCCCCGGCCTATCACCGATCCAGCGGGTCAGAGAAAGACGGAGAAGAAAAGACAACCGTTTTCTTGCCCAGCAAACGGCTGAGTATTTGTACAAAACGGAATGAGGGACGTCGGCGACGAGCGGCGGCTACGGCAAGCTGCGATTGAACCGGTTCGCGGGTTCGTACAGGCCCAAGCCAGCTAGCTGGATGGGGTATTCCCTTTCTGCCGGTATTAGCAAGAGGGGTCTCGCCTCTTCGGGTCGGGCGATGTGACGGGGTGTGCAGTAATGTGTTCATGTAAAGTGTTGTGGGACAGATAGTGGAAATCTAATGGATGCCATGGAAAGTTCTCTGCTTTAGTTTTCTTTTGGGGGGGGGGGGGGGGAACATGTGGCTCGAGTGTGTGTGAGGTGGTGTGCGAAAGAGAAGGGGAAGCTCCAAAAAGTTACATCTTGACTTTACAGAAACAGCGAGCGGGCAGGTGGGACCACGGACCAGGACCAGGCATCGCCGGATAAATTGCAAAAAAGATAAACTTCTCTTGGGGCCGCGGCCCAGGGCTGCAGGTTGGGCCTTTCGGTTCCTCTGTCTGGGCATGCAGTAGTGGTGGGGGGAGTGTTGCAGGTACCGTGTGGGTATCATCGTATGGGATTCTTGACTAGATGGATATTTCGCTACAAGCAGAGCTTGACCCTTGAAGGGGAAGAAGGGAAACACTCGAGTTGGGAAATCAGATCGTCGTTGAAAGGAAGCGGTCGTACATGTCCAGGTCGTAGTGTACCAACAAGTGACTGGTGGCGGATTGTAACCTCTTGGAAGAAAGCAATCTAGATCATCTCGCTACCAGAACTCTGTCCTTCTTCTCATATAGACGAGCTGATGAGACCATAATCCAGGGATCAGGTGGTGATCCTTCTCTGGCGCTCCCTGGTGGTGTGCTACCATGCTGTTGCAATTTGATCGCCCTTGGGGTCTTTGCCACTTGCTGTTACCCTGTGATTCTGAAGGCATTCCCCAATTATTGAAGTCTGGGCCAGTCTCCAGGCGAAGTCGTGGAGTTTCGGCTTCGTATACCCAAGCGGTCTAGAGTCTTGAGCGGAGAGGGAAAGCGACGATTGTCATCAAAACCTTCCTTCTGGTCTGCCTGCTCAGAACGAGGCCCCAACTGGGCTTGACAAGACAGGTCTGATGATGCTCACATTGTACAAGTCAGAAAATCCGGACGGCTGGTTGTAAAAACTGTGGAACTGTCACCACCAAAGCCACGGAAAGTGATCCGAGCTGATCGTGATCGTTTTGAACCAAGTGATGAATCCCAATCAGCAGGTTCATGCCGAACATACCATTCCGGGCCAGATTGTTAGGCAACTTCAAAGGAAGTGTTGGGCGAAGGTGTCAAAGGTGAAGCCATCTCGAAGCCGATACACCGCGGATAAACGAACAGGTAGGGGGAAGCATACCGGTAGACTCTCAAAGGGTAGAGAATTGATTGATGTAATTCATTAAGCGCGATCCGAGACCTAGGATTTTGCATCATTCAGGGGTATATAAGATAAATTACGACATATTAATAAAAACCACCGCTATGCAACTCATCAACGAATTACACAGCGATATTACCACTGCTTATCGTCGCGAAACCCTTTCCCGTGTTCCTCCCAAATCCCGCAATCCAAGCCTTCCGCGGGCCCGGCATCAAGGGAACGACGCGCGGGATGACGGTGTTACCCGTCCCAGCGGCCGGGTAAGTAACCCCCTTGGATTCCGGCACAAAAGGCGTTGATGGCAGAGAGCGTCTCATGGGAAAAACACCGAGTAGAGGGACGCAGACGCGCGGGGTTGTGTCCAAATCACGCAAACAAACAAACACGCTTCCTAACAGACCCAAACATGAAAATCATGCCAGTTCTTAGGCAGACTTGGTCTCGCTGATCTGAGTCTCCTTCTCGACCTGATCGTAGTCGACGCGGGCAACTTCTGCGTTATCGCCGTCGATGATCTTGGCAAGCTCCTCGAGGGTAGGGCCCTTGGTCTCGACGTACATGAAGTAGACGAAGACGAACTCAAGGAAGATCCAGCACTAAGAATCAGGAGATCAGCTTTCAGTTCAATTGCTAGAATCGGGAGAAGAAGAATACTCACGGTGTAGATAAGGTAGAGTTTCCAGGTGTGGCCCTCGAAGTGCTTGAAAGCCACGGGGTTGGCGTAGACGTTGAGGGTAAGGGCGCACTGAACCGACAAGTTCATGATCATGAGACCCTTGGCACGGAGCTTGTAGGGCAGGATCTCGATGGCATAGCCGACGAGGAGACCAGACCAAGCCAGAGAGTACATGATTCCGAAGAGCCAGATGAAGAAGATCATAGCCTTGTCGGCACCGACAGCCTTCTTCTCGTCCCAGAGAGCGGAAGTGATGGTCCAGAAGATGAAGGTGCCGAACATACCACCGGTGGAGGCAAGGAAGGCAGGGCGGCGACCAAGCTTGTCGACAAGCATGGCCATGGTGAGCGAGACGATGAGGGCGAGAACGGTCTGGCCGGCCGAGAGACCGAGCTTGGAGGTAGAATCAAGAACGCCGGCAGAGTCGTACAGCTTGGAAGCATAGTTGGAAATGATAGCATTGCCAGACCACTGGGAGAAGATACCGAGCGAGATGAGAACAGCCAGGCGGTAACGGTTGCCCTTGGTACGGGTGAAGTCGAGGTAGCTGCTGTTCTTCTTGTTCTCGTATTCGAGACGGAGAGTCTCCCTGATCTCGGTGAACTCGAACTGAACGGTGGGGTGGTTGGGGTTGCCGTTGGCGTGGTACTTGGCAAGGATCTCGAGGGCCTTGTCGGACTTGTCCTTGGCGATCAGGTAACGGGGAGACTCGGGCACCCAGTAGATGAAGGCAAGCTGAATGACGGAGGGGAGAGCCTGGAGCAGAGCGGGAACACGCCACGCCCACTCAGAGTCGACGTAGTTGGTACCGAAAGAAACCCAAGCGACGATGAGAGCACCGACGTTCCACAGGCAGTTGTAGACGGTGGTAAGACGGCCACGATGTTGAGGGTGGCACAACTCGGTCAGAAGCATGGGAGACGAGATCTGAGCGAGGGAGTTGCCGAAACCGAGGAGAACACGACCACCCATGAAGGTGTCGAGGTTCTTGGAGCAACCCTGGATGATGGCACCGGCAACCATGATAAGGCAGCCGATGGCAATGGGAAGCTTACGGCCAAAGTTATCGGCAAGGAGGGGACTGGCGAGAACGGAATGTCAGTTTCCAGTGTGAACACCAGAAGTAGCCACTTGTTGGTTGCTTACACGATAGGAATGGATGCCAAACTACCAATCTGGTAGAGGGCACCAACGAGACCCAGAAGGGATCCATCAGGGTGGTCGAAGTATTCTTGCCATGTGTCGAAGTTCTGTACCGAGTTGAAGAACATGCTACAGAAAGATCCATGTTAGACCAACACCTTTGATCGGACCGCCCCTGATCATTCTTCCAGAACTTACCCATCGTAACCAGTGGTGGCCGAAGCAACGCAAAGAATAATGGCGAAGAAGTAGAGCTTGCGCAGACCGGGGTCCCTTCGCCAGTTGACTTTCTCGAACTGAGGAGCCTCCTCGACGGCGACGGCACGCGCCTCAGAGTTGGGCGTCTTGTCAAGAAGACCCATTTTGCTAGTTGTTTTGTGGTAGACCCGGGGGATAAGGGGTATCTCGAGCTTGGCAATTGACTGTGATACGAGAGAGGCAGCAATTCAATGGCTCTCAAGGTGGATGTTGTCGACACAGTTGACCCGTCTCCTTGGTTCCAGAAAGAGGGATTGTCAGGAACTCAAGAAGAGGATGGGGATACGGCATTATAAGGACATTTTGAGGGAGCATCAGAACCGACTCTGGGGTATGGGGGAGGGTCTGGAGAGTCTGGAGAGTCTGGAGAGTCTGGGAGGGTCCAAGACGGACAACCGGACCGGCGAGGCGTTCCAGCAAGGGGATTGGACAAGAACAGTCTTGATGGGGACGGCCGGGGAGGGTGTGGATTATCCCACACCAGAGAAGCTTAACCAACCTGCGCAACCTCTGGTAGGATGCGACTGCTCCTTC